ACTGTGTGTTTGAAGGTAGAAGCGCTAATGTTTGTGAATGGAATTCATTCACAAATATAATATCATGTGAACAGGGATTTTTCGAAAATTTGTTACTAAAAACCATTTCAGTAGATCAAGTAGACTTCTTTTTCCAGCTTTTTTATGTTGCCACAGAAACCTATGACTCTTCTCGTATCGATCTCGTCTAATTGGAAGCCTAGCGTCATCTTGTCTAATGATTGGGTTTTCGAAGCTATGTATGTCCATATACCTCCATAGATTGCCTAATAAACGTGTCGTTTAAGAAACGGAAACTACCTACAGATGATACCAACTACTTGGTGTTGTCTTGTCATATTATGCTCGGGTACTCTGCTCAGCCGTATTCTTTATGCCGATGATGGTTTCCTACTAGTGGATTCTTTAAGAAGTAAAGTTTGTCACAAGTTTTTCATCAACTAGGTTTCTTAAATAATGGAGAATATTGTGGCCCAGGTGGATGGTCTTTCATCGTTTTGCTAGATGAAAGCTTCACGATTAAACAACCCAGCTCAGAGAACACAATACAACCAGGTTTCTTAAATATTATAATATAATTAGAAATACTAAGATTCACTTGTAGATATCCTGAAGTTTTTGGATGATATCAACTAGTTATGCATCTAGTCAAGTCCACAAATAACTCAATCTTAGAAAATGTAACCACTGACCAGCAATATGTATCATGTACAAGACTGAAACGCTAATAAAACTACCGAATTTCGTATTCGTTGAAATGATCAATCAAAAGCGTGTGTATTGTTTGCTATTTTTCGTATACGTAGGCTTTAAAATCTTTCGCTTCTATCTCTTAGTTAATTAATGCATAGTTTGCGCAGATTTCAAGTTCCTCCGGGTAAGAAGTAATTATTCATCTGATAGTTTGAGAAGTAGGGTTACTTATTTTTGTCATCGTTTACAAATTGAAGTCTATGAACTGAATCTAAGCTTCAGAATCAAGGATTAGTTGTTAAATTTCGATATCTAACTTTTAGAGGATAAGACTGCTGTAAACTTATAAAACAGAAGATAGCTGGGAAGAAGTTCACATTTTCCCTGGTGGCACTGTTTTTGTTTTATAAATTAGTAGCAATGCTAGCTTCCTTTTAAATAAATACTTAGGTCTAAAGTGTGAAATCATAGCCCATATACTCGTACTACCACGTAAGATTTATTATTATTATTATTTGTCCCTTGGGTTTCTAGTGGAACATACGGCTTCAGTAGCACGTCTCCAGTGCACTCTGTTCTCTGAAATTTTTTGAACCTGGCTCCACAACTTCCCAGTAGCTCTCATTTCTTCCTCACACGATCTCCTCCATGTCACCCTCGCCTCGGACGCCCAACTCGTTGTTTCCCATCTGGCTTCCGCTCGACAGCCTGGCCTGGCGCATGGTGTCCCCACTCGGCCTTCTCAGTGTATGCCCAATCCATCTCCACTTCCTTCCAATGCATATTTGTTGAGTGATAGGTTCTTGGTTGGTTCGTTGCCAGCCAGCCAGAGTTCCACGTTGCTTATTCTTTCTGGTCATCTCAGCTTTAGTAACGAGCCAGCGTAGGCAGTTGTTGATGAATGTCTGTAGTTTGTTGAAAATGTTTTTCGTAGCACGCCAAGTCTCTGAACTATACAGGAGCAATGACTTGACGTTGGTGTTGAAAATCCCAATCTTGTTCCACATGCTGAGTGCCGTGCAGTAGATCTCCACACTGGTTTCAGTCTAATGAACGCCTATCTTGCTTTTCCGATTCTGACTTTGACATCTTTGTCTGTGCCGCCTGTAGTTGAAACAGTGCTGCCTAGATAGGTGAAAGGGGCTACTTCCTTTAAGTTTCTCCCGTTGATGGTGATTGGATTTTGTTGTTGTTGAAGTTGTTGGTGTAGTAACTTCATCACTTCTGTTTTCTCTACATTTACTTGAAGTCCTGTCTTCGCTGCCTCGCCTCCTAGGTCAACTTGTTAGTTTTTGCTTGCAGATCTTCAGATCTTTGTGTGACACTAGACACAAGTCATCGGTGAAATTCAATCTTCTAGGATCTTTTCCCCGGTCCAGCGTATCCCCCTCTTCTCACTCCTCACTGTTTGTTGCATGATCCAGTCCAGTCCACTACAATCAGGAATATCATGGGTGATAGTAGACAGCCTTGTTCACTCCTATCTTTACTTCTAAAGCATCACTGAGCTTCCCATTGTGAATTACTTGGCCGGCATGTGGCGTCCTCACATAGTTGTTGAATGAAGTTGATACAGGTTTGTGGTATTCCGTAGTGTTGAAGCAACTGCCGAATTACTTGTCGGTCGACGTTGTCGAAGTCCTTCTCAAAGTCGATGAAGTTGAGGTAGAGAGTTGATTGCCATTCTATACTCTGTTCTATGATGATGTCTAGAGTAGCGTTACAATTTGGTCCCACATGATTTGTACTTCCTGAATCCAGCCTGCCTGTTCTGGTCGTAGTTTTGAATCCAGTGCATCCTTTACTCTCTCCAGGATGATGCGGCTTAATATTTTGCTTGGGGTGGACAGGGACAGGAGAGTGATTCCTCGCCAGTTCTTGCAAACACTGAGGTCTCCCTTCTTCGGGAGTTTGACTAGGTAGCCCTTCTTCTAATCAGTTGACAGGCACCTTCTCTTCCTTCCACACCTTCTGCAATAGTGGTGTGGGCATGTCTGCTGTTGTCCATGCGTCTGTTCTCAGTGCTTCTATAGGGATTCCATCTCGTTCTGCTGCTTTCCCTCATTTCAGCAGCTTCAGGACGTTCAAGACTTCGACTTTGGTCAGAGGATTTGTGTTCACTTGTAGTTCTGTGGTTGGGCTGCAGGTGGTATTTCTGGACGAAGTGCAGGTGGTGGTGGTGGTCGATTCAAGAGCTTTTCGAAGTGGTCAACTCATCGTTTCCCTTGTTTCTCATCTTTGGTAATTAGATTTCCTTCATCATCTTTTATTGGTTTCATCTGTGTTGATCTCTTCCCTCCCAGATAGTAAGTAGCCTGGTTATTTGATACAATGTTGTCTGATCTCTGTCTCTCCTACCTGCAGCCTGTTATGCTTCACTTGCCAGTGTGTCGTGGAAGTGTCTTTTGTCTTTGCGTGCACTCTTCTTCACTTCTTTGTCCAGTTTAGTGTTTTATAGGTTGTACTCAGTTCCTCTTCTCGTCGTTCATTCTTGCACTCCACTGGTTGATCTTCTGCTTCACCATCCTCCTCTCCCTGATCTATCAGCTTCCATGTGTCCATCGGGATCCACTCCTTGTCTTCTTGCTTCTTGCTTCCTAATACGGCTGTGCAGGTTTCTTTCCACATCTCTTTCACACAGGTTTCTTCAGGGATGTTGCTCGATATCTCCCATTTTGTCTTGATGGCTGGCTGCCGTGAAGATTTCCTTTGTAGTTTCGTCCTTCTGTTTCTGTTCCGAGTGTTGTACTTGAGCTGTGGTCTATCACCAGCCTCCTTGAAGGCTTTTAACTTGATTTGGAGGGTTCCTTGCACTAGATAGTGGTCTGAGCCTACATCTGCTCCCCTTGTGTTAAGTAGACTGCGTCTCCACTTTCTTCACATTGAGATTAAGTCGATTTGATTTTGAGTGTGTCCTGGTGTCTGGTGAAATCAAATCCATGTCGCTTTGTGGATATCCTTGTGCTTGAATACACTACCCCACTCCGATCACCAAATCGTTGAATGCACAGAATTCTGCAAACAATTCTCCATTCTGTTTCATCACCCCACCGAGCACTTCTCGACCCATGGTTAGTTCTCTTCCTGTGTTGTCCGATCTGAGTTTGGCATTCATGTCACGCCACCCATTAGAATTTCGATGTCGCCAACTGGGATGGGGTCTTGTCCAGTGTTGATTGCAGTTGTCTGTAGAATTCCTCCTTTTTCTCTTGATCTGCATTATTTGTAGGTGCGTGGCGTAGCATTGTATGATTGTGACCTTCCTTCCTTTTGATTTGAATCTTGATGTCATGATCGTGGAGGAGATTGGTTCTTACTGCATAAGAGAGAGCCTTCGATGCTGTTGGGGACATCATGATAGCCACTCCATAACTCAGTGTGTTTGTGGTTGTCGTCTGGATGACCGGAGTAGATTATTGATTCTCCAGATGACAGTTTGGAGAGTCCACTTCCATTCTATATAGTTTCGCAAATTCCTAACACTTCAATGTGATGCCTTCTCATCTCGTTTGCAAACTGGGTTGCCTTGCTGGGTTCAAACTTTGTGCGGACATTCCATGTCCCCACGTTTACTTTCGCTTTCATCGAGAGAGAGAGGACACATCGGTCCGGCTAATTGGCTTCCCGAAGGCAGGCTTTCACGAACTGGCGTCATTTCGCTTCTCCGATTCCAGCGAGGAATAATTTTGTTATTATTTTTTATATTTTGTTTGTGTTATGAAGTTTCTTTGGCGGTTAGATTTGTTTTACGGGGTAGGGTTGCTAGCCTTGTGCCCAACCTTCCCTCTTTATGTGGGCTTAGGACTGGCTAGTAACTAGTGGACTAGTTAACCAGGCGAGGTTGCTATAACATAAGAACTGTCCACCCATTATCCCTAATTTCTTTTGTTCCGCAAGAGCATCAAAACATGAAGAAATAAGCAGAATTTACAACTAGCATAAATCTTTTTGCAACATAATATCCTGTAGTTTGCCAAGGTGCACCTTGAAATATAGTCAGCGAAATTTCTACCGTCTTGAAAGTATGGTTTAGTGTTACTACATTAGTAATCAAGAGATATTTTATTTATTCACCAGAAAACCGAATTTTGTTTCAGGAAGGTTTGGCCCTAGTTTCTCACCAACATCACAATCCTGTTATGTAGGTTAGTGAAATCATAACTGATGGAATAGGTCTGTCCAAACTTGAGATCTATTCCTTTGCTAATTTATCTACCTGTTCTTTTGAAATGTTTTTAATTCCCATACTGGTTTTGAAATGCTAAGTTAAAATATACGTGATTTTTTTTTAAATTCGACGCTTTCAGGTATAACTTTGTGCGCCTAGATGGTACAATGACAATTAAGAAGCGAGCGAAAGTTGTTGAACGGTTCAATGACCCAACCGTAAGTAAAAAACGGTACGGCCAACTTTCAGTGTTCGCCCATGAAAGTTAACTGTTTATCATTTGGAGAATTAACTAACAAGGCCTCTATTCAAGTTTTCATTTTGGTACAACATGAAAAATAGTAGACGTTATGAAAGATATCTGAGCAGCTTGCGTAAAGTATGTCTAAAACACTGAAGCTGACGTTTCAAATTTATTTTACTTATTGATGGGAGTTATCTAACATGCTCAAATACCGCTGGATTTAGTCCACAAATGGTGGTGATTATATATTAAGGACCGTCAAAGAATTTCACCTTGGATAGGTCATGTTGCACAGACATAGAGAAGGACTTCTCACCCCAAACATTTTACATCTCCATCAGCTTTGACTGAGATTGACGCAATTCACAATGGCTTTTGATATACTGTTGGTAATCTCATGCATCGCACCCTTTCCCAACTCGCATTGCTACTCATATAAACGAACTTCCCGTCTACTTTCTCGAATATTTTATCCCACTTTCTTTTTTTGAATCCAACTTGATTTTTAAAAAAGGTGATGGTAAGAAGTTCAAAACATCGTAGAACTTTTCATAGAAGTACGCTGGCTTGAGTTTCCACGCCTAATAACAGGTAAGTTTGAAAGGAAACACGAAGAGAAAAATGAACCTGAAAACTAGGTATGATATTGTTTGCATGTACTCAAGTATTCAAAGACTACGGGAAGATAGGGAGTGGTTGCAACACAGCCGTTGTAATTGGTTTGTAAGCATATCAACTAAGTTCTAATTTCTCCTTCAGACTTCGTGTTGATAGTCAGTGAGTTCACAATGTAACCCATCACTTCAAATGGGGTTATTGACTCCACCGGTTTCATATAGCTACTAGTTGAAACTCAGTTCAATCTTTCTACTCAATGATCGTACGAATTCGCATATTTCCCATCAACCATTTCACTGTTTACCCACTCATCATCCATGCTTGTATTGTCAGCGAAATCAGCGTGGTAATCAAATATGAAACAAAACAACACTGTGTTCTTTTGGGTATTTTGAGACATTCAACATCTGTTCACAACTGCTGAATACTGTTTCTCTGTCAACATCTTTTTTAAACATGAATACGTAGCAGTGACAATGTGTGACAAAATTTTACTATTATTATCTGTCCTTTCGCTTCCTAGTGGAACATAAGGCTTCAGTAGCACGTCTCCATTTCACTCTGTTCTCTCCAGTCTTTTGAACCTGGCTCCACGACTGTCCAGAAGCTCCCATTTCTTCCTCACATGATCTCCTCCATGTCACCCCCAGCTGGGACACCCAACTCGTCGTTTCCCCTTTGGCGCCCACTCGAAGGCTTGGTGCGTGATATCCCCAGTCGGTCTTCTCAGTGTATGTCTAATCCAATCCATCCCCACTTTCTTCTGCCTGTTCCTTGGGCGATGTGTTCTTGTTTGGTTCGTTGCCAGTCAGAGTGAGTTCCTTGCTGCTTATTCTTATTATTCTGGCTGTCCATCTGATCTATCTTCAGTGTCAGTATCGAGTGAGCGTAGGCGGCAGCTGCTGATGATGTATGTCTGTAGTTTGTTGGAAATGCTTTTCGTGATGCGCCAAGTCTCTGAACCATCACATAGAAGCACTGACTTGATTGGCATTAGTGTTGGAAATCCGGATGTTGTTCAGGCTTTATGCTGAGTAGAGTGCAATAGATCTCCACACTGATTATTTCAGATTGATGAAGGCCTGTCTTACTTTGCCGATCCTAGCTTTGACATCCTCATCTGTGCCGTCTGTAGTTGGAACGATGATGCCTTGCCTAGGTAGGTGGAAGAGACTACTTTGTTTAAATTTCTCCCATTGAGGATGATTAGTACTTGTTATTGTTGTTGTTATTCCTGTTGGTTGGGTATCTTTATCACCTCTGTCTTCTGTACGTTCACCTGAAGGAAGTTTCGTCTTCATTGCCTCTTCTGTCAACTTGTTGGTTTTTGCCTGTATGTGTTCGAGCTTATTCAACATTAGACATAAGTCATCATCGGGGAAATCCAAATCTTCCAGGGTATCATCATCGGTCAAACAGCGTATGCCCATTTTCTCACTCCTCACAGTTTGTTGCATGATCCAGTTCAGTCGACCGCAATCAGGAAGATGATCGGTGACAGTAGGCGGCAACCTTGTCTTACTCCTGTCTTCACTTGAAATGCATCACTGAGCTGAGCTTTCTATTGTGAATCACTTGGCATGTAGCATCATATAGTATATGGCTGTTGAATGAGGTTGACAAAGGTTTGTGGTATTCCATAGTGTTAGAGCAGTTGCCAAGTTCCTTGTCGGTTGACGCTGTCGAAGACCTTTTCAAAATCGATGAATTTGAGGCTGAGGTTGAGTTGAGTTGACTGGCATTCTATGCTTTGTTCTATGAAGATGGGTAGCGTTGCGTTGCAATTGACTTGATTTGACTGGCATTAGTGTTGGAAATCCGGATCTTGTTCTTCATGCAGAGTGTGGTAGATCTTCACACTGGTTCCAGGTTAATGAAAGCCTGTCCTGCAGTCTTTCCGATCCTGGCTGGCTAAGACGTCCTCGTCAGTGCCACCTGTAGAAGAAATTACACGGCTAGATTTTGTGGTTTGCCAAGTTTTGCAAAGTGAATCACATCATATAAGTGAATTACTATCTAATCAATGATTTCAATTCTGTTTTATGCAAATTAAAACATTTTTCACTGATTAGGAATCGTAAATATTTTTACAGTTTCATAATAATCTAGAAAATAAAAATATCTAACTAGAAATTACCACTAAACATCAGTTTGTTAAGAAGATTTGTACACAGGAATTTGCTAATGTCACATGGTTTTAGGATTGGTGAAGAAACAAATAATAGTGACCGATTTCTACTGGAATGTTAGGTCAAAATTACTTAGTCATTAAGCGGAAGCCTAAATCTTACTAAAAACAGTAGTCATAGTGAAGAACAACATTAGAATATATGATTTTCAAATTATGATACTGAAAAGTGTAAATTTGGTCGATTAACTTCGGTGTGCAGCTAAAGCACCACACCTGTATCATTATTCAGAAAGTCATTGCTTATAACCAGAGGTACAGGTGGAAAAACCTTTTGGAATTCAAAATCCAATAGTTTTAGTGAGTTAATTGTAGTTTAAGTATAGTGGTGAAAACATATAAATATAATAAAATGTCTTAGTGTTAGAGTAACTGGATTTTGTGCATGACTGATGACTAGTTCAAAATTCGTGAAAAGTCCGAAGCCAACTGAAAGTCAGTCAGCATTTACTCAAAAGCTAGAAAATACTTCTTCCACTACTGAAATCCATTTTTAATATCTGAAATTGAAATTCAACTTCTACAGCCTGATCTCCAAATCCTGTTAGGTTTCATCTAAAAAAAGATAACTGAGAACCTAAGTTCATTTTAGTAATCTCACCAGCCAGGCATTTGATTCAGTACCCAATCTGAAAGATTTTCAATAGTCCACAGGTATCACGCGAAATAGCTGCAATAAGGATATCAATACACTTGCCAGTCATCAGCACGTCTTATCAAAAGAACATAGCAAAGAACCTAGTCATGTTATTAAATCGATTTTACCATATAGCTAAATTATCAAACCTAATATCCAGAGAAACGCCATTCAACCAGAAAGATAACTGAGAGAAAATGCAGGACGAATCGTTTGATACCACGGTTCAGTATGTGCAAACCGAACCATCCAGTTCAGTCGTCTCTTAATTATTTAGATTACCTAATATCCGTAAAACACATTCCTCTTCAACGGATAATAAACATAACCAGTTCTTCATTGCAAATAATTGCTAAATGACTAGTGGACAACACTGAACTGGCAAGAAACTATACAGGAAAGTATAGTCTCAAGGAGATCTTTGATTTCATTGAACTGGTAGAAAGTGTCAAAGTGCCTAATAGATAAACCTTTTCTCTGCATTTAATTCTCTATTTACAAATGTCCTCCTAACTGAAACCATCCACTTTATGTGTTACCAAATGATCCCAATGAGCTAAATATTGCTCTACCTACCAGAAACTTAAAAGAGCTACCTTCCATATTCACTGTTAAAATTCACCACAAATTCTAAGATTTGTAGATGTAGGACGGCCTTCAGACAGCGATATCCTCCTTAGTTTAGTTTACTCCTAGGAGATAGCTTCATAGAATGTCTTAAAAGTGATGTCCCTAACTCATCAATCAGCCAACTTTACTTTTACAAAGGATATGTTGAAAATGACAAACAGCAGACAAAACAGTTATTGATTATCTCTAAGAAAACTACCAATATCGGCGGCAAATTTAAGGAGGGCATAACAACTGTGGTTCAGTGACAACGTGGTAGCCACGGAACCGGAAGGTCCTAGGTTCGATCCCTAGAGGGGTGGGTATTGCACTAGGACGAAACAGTTGTTCAGTGTTCACAGGTTTCCAATATTTCTCCAGTTGATGTCAGTCCATGAAGAAAACCAACTTCAAAACAACTGAAATCCTCAAAAATTGTCTTTCATTTCCTCTGATGAAATATTTCATTACATTTTCCAGTAATGAAAAAATCCGCCATTGTATCAGAGGTAGAATATCGCTTTCGGTCACTTGAAATTCAGTTCACTTCTACCCGTAGAACAATGTACAATGGTAATATACAGTATCAAATCCATAGACTAGGATTTGAGCAGAATCCGTAATCCTCAGCAGGAGTTGAAAAGCTGAAAAACGAGTCAGCGAATGAATTACGCTCGTTAGAAATAGGTTATAAAATTGATTTCATTGGAATCAAAATTTTCAAAAGAGGTTTTGGGTAGTGTTAAGAAACACTGACTACTAAGGCCCTGTATATATATCTGAATCCGAACAGTCTAGATGGAGTAGAGTTAACTGATTCCTGGTAGATACTAGTCAACAGACAAACGGAATGATGAAACTAGACACATTAAGAATATCACACATCTCAATAATTTACGATCCAAATTAAAGAATAAATTCATGAAAAATTTTGAGAAAATACGAGTAGCAGTGGCAACACGGGTGTTACCAGTATCAGTGATATTTTTATCAATGGCGACGCTGTGAAGGAAGAATCCAAAACCTTTACACTAACATACAAGAAAGGCACTCAGAAGGATTGAGGAGAAGTTTCCATAACGCTGCGATTATAGTGACATTTCAACATCCAAACACACTTAGGAACAAGCTTTGTAGGTAAAAGATCCTATTGATCTAATTGGAGGAAATAATTTAGTTTACTGAATTCCTTACGATGATTTCCAGGTCAAATACATAGGTGAAAATAGTCGACCAGCACTAATTTGGCCGATCATGGAGAATGTGGTCAGAAATTCCAATCGATGAAGAACTGTATAAACTCATGAAAGTGTTTTTTGATGGGGAATAGAATGAACAACTTGGTAGGTGGAAATAACCACCCATAAGAAGTAACTTTTTCACATTGGTGTGGATTTATGAATTCGGCTCTGAACCATCACATAGAAGCACTGACTTGATTGGCATTAGTGTTGGAAATCCGGATGTTGTTCAGGCTTTATGCTGAGTAGAGTGCAATAGATCTCCACACTGATTATTTCAGATTGATGAAGGCCTGTCTTACTTTGCTGATCCTAGCTTTGACATCCTCATCTGTGCCGTCTGTAGTTGGAACGATGATGCCTTGCCTAGGTAGGTGGAAGAGACTACTTTGTTTAAATTTCTCCCATTGAGGATGATTAGTACTTGTTATTGTTGTTGTTATTCCTGTTGGTTGGGTATCTTTATCACCTCTGTCTTCTGTACGTTCACCTGAAGGAAGTTTCGTCTTCATTGCCTCTTCTGTCAACTTGTTGGTTTTTGCCTGTATGTGTTCGAGCTTATTCAACATTAGACATAAGTCATCATCGGGGAAATCCAAATCTTCCAGGGTATCATCATCGGTCAAACAGCGTATGCCCATTTTCTCACTCCTCACAGTTTGTTGCATGATCCAGTTCAGTCGACCGCAATCAGGAAGATGATCGGTGACAGTAGGCGGCAACCTTGTCTTACTCCTGTCTTCACTTGAAATGCATCACTGAGCTGAGCTTTCTATTGTGAATCACTTGGCATGTAGCATCATATAGTATATGGCTGTTGAATGAGGTTGACAAAGGTTTGTGGTATTCCATAGTGTTAGAGCAGTTGCCAAGTTCCTTGTCGGTCGACGCTGTCGAAGACCTTTTCAAAATCGATGAATTTGAGGCTGAGGTTGAGTTGAGTTGACTGGCATTCTATGCTTTGTTCTATGAAGATGGGTAGTGTTGCGTTGCAATTTGATTCGCAAATGATTGGTTCTTCCTGAAGCTAGTCAGCCTTTTGTGGTCGTAATTTTGAATCCAGGGCATTTTTTTAGTCTCTCTAGGGTGATGTGGCTTAATACTTTGCTTGGATGAGTGGGGACAGCAGGATGTTTCCGCGCCAGTTCTTGCAGTTTTAGGGTGTGACGATATGCAATACAGTAATTCAGTTGTACACACCAGTTGTTATCTGGAAACACTTATTGTTTGTGACGGTAGAGATCAAGTATTCTATGAGACATTAGCTACTGTAAGAAGGAAAATGGTCTTCATTAAACTACCGCTTAAAGTAAGTAAATTATTCAGTTGACAACTCGAAGGCGTTAGTTGGCTGTGAAACTCGCTTTCTGTGCCACTTCTTTTCATTGAACTGCAATTAAAACAATCAAATTGCAAGATTGGTTATTCCACTTCACATTATATTTAAAAGCTTACCTGCATTGGTTCGAACACTTGTCTAGGTAAAACTAACAGAACTATGGAATGCTGTCGAAAATAATCCTTTTCAATGACTGTCGAGTCACATGATTAAAACACATGTACATTGCTTGGTCATGGGAGGGAAACCAATTTCATGTTATCTAGTCGTGAGTACTGACCAAGTTCTATCGATCACTTTTGCAATGTGACCATCAAGCTAGAGGGCTCCACATCGTAGTGCACTCGGATACATGTTAATTGGCTGGAGGTAATCGGCAGGAAGCCTTGAACCCATATTTCATGCTCAGTAATAACGTCGCTGATTGGAACACTGGGGGGACGCAGGTTCGAATCTCAGAGGAAACATCAACAAGCACGAAACCTAAAGCCAGGGCTTCCTGCTGATTACCTTCACCCAACAAACCAAATGTACTTAGCATGATCAGGAGCCGAGCAACATCCATCTATAGCCAGGCACTTATTGATGATCGGTCACAAAATCAATGCTAATGACTGTTTTTCACTTATTCCATGTAAGAGCATTTGGGTTTAATCATATGCCCAGAATTATGACCTTTTATCTACCCTGAACTAATTGACTTAGTATATTGACTGGTTATTAATAATTATATTAATAATATAATAATATATTCTGGCAATATTTTTCTTCCTCATTAATGCCTTATTGAAGCATATGTATGTCTCAGCATTTGGACATTTTCAGTTGCATTAAAGACCATGTAACTGAGCAGGGAAACTCAATCTTTAACTCTGAAAAGGATTTCTCAACACTATTAAAACAGTCAATAATTGTGGGCTTTCTAGAAAACCTCAAGGTTTATTGAGAAGTATGTAAACAGAGCTCTTTTCTGAGCATCTTCCTACCGTCATTATAAAAACAATCGTTTCAGTACCATTGTTGTTTTTTAAGGATAGTGAGATTGTGCATGAAGGCTGTAATCAATGACAAGTTATGTCACTAGATATTTTTATTACTCATTTATTTCATTTCTTGATCCTGTATTTATCAGTTCGGTGTATTATTTTTTCACCATCAATTATTAATCCCCTTTTCACTTCTCACCTCTCCAGTCACAGGATTTTGTATTCATGTTAAGCAGCAAAGCTGGTGGTTGTGGACTCAATTTGATTGGTGCCAATCGTCTTGTCATGTTTGATCCTGATTGGAATCCAGCTAATGATGATCAAGCGATGGCACGTGTTTGGCGTGATGGTCAAAAGAAACAGTGTTATATATATCGGCTTATTTCGGTAAGCGTTTTGATCTACTTAGAAATCCCTTGCTGTTTTTATATATGTTCTAACTGATGGCCGTTTGTTACAAAATACTATGCATCTTATCAAAGTGAGTGAAAGATGATACTGTCATAACAGATGTCTTTATTCAAGTATCCTAATAAACCGTTCAACACAATGTACTATTTATTGTGTTATAACGGCGCGGCAGATTATCGTGAAAATATCGTTTGAAAAGAGTAATTCAATGGTTTAACCCTAGGGAAATCTCCTCGTTCGTCGTCGCTGATATGCTGTGCACTATCAACCTATAATGGTTAAACTTTGGGCTGTTTATATTCTCTACCTTTGCATATAATACTGTTTGCAATAAACTATTATGTAATAGACTGCATAAGTTTAATTGAGATAACCGACAATGTTCCATTATTATTTTCAGGATGGCATTTCTAGTCCCGATTTTATTTCGCATAATCATTTTGTATAACTATGAACTTAAAACGTCGAGTAAATAGAAATCCATAGCTGTGTATTGTATCAGACAAACTTTTTGAATATGAAATGGTGTACTGTATCGAAATCTGTCGTATTAAATAAAGTTATCACTTATTTAGTCACCCAGTAAACTTCTCTTATTATTTTTTATAGTCTGTCTTTTTGTCAAAACACTTTTTCCTGTGGCCTTATTTTGAGTGCCGCACACCTTCATGTCATCTTTCTAGACAAGTAATCAATCAGAGAGGAATGATTATTGTAAATACGTGAACCCGCTGTCCTTGGGAAATCAGCTTAATTTCATGTTACAATAACTAAATTTACTCAGCTAATCAAACAGCTCTTCGATTAGCATGACATAGTAGTGAAGTAGCAGGATACTAGAAGTTTTATCCAGTTGTATAGTGGTGATTATAGTTAAATCTTCATCTAAAGGCTTTTATCATATTCAAATATGATCCCCTGAAACTGGCTAAGGTAATTTTTGAAACTTGCTGGGACTATTTATTATTATCATAACTAAACCTTGACATAGTTTGGGACAAGCGATCTAATCAACGTAATCGATGGAAATATATTAAACACATCCAGTCAAATCGATTGACTACTTCAGTGTTTTAAGCTTTTTACTGCAGTCGTAGCGTAATAAAAAGGACTATAGCTCTATGTTCTAGATTCTCGACATCGTTTTTATTTATGGGCTTAGATCCTATCCCATTTTAGTTAGTCAGACAGTATCGATAGTCCTTACATTAGGGGTGCGTTTGTAGCCTAATATATGGACTTGGACATTGTTACTGTTTTGTATTCCCACTTATATTCGTAATATAATAAATGTTACAGATTAGAATTGTATTCATTTGTGCATCATGAAATCATTCATGCTATTATATTGTAACTGTTGCCTTTTTACATCCTCAATATCGTCAAGAGTGAATTCTGGACCAGTGCTGTATCAATTCATTATATTGGTTTCTGTACTGTCATTATGGACCATCTATAATGTTCAAGATTTTGACTTGTGAATTAACCTTAACTTCATGACCATATTGCCAAACGATTGATAGAATTCGGTCATCGCTTTAAGTTAAGCGGAATAAAATTAGTTACTCTCAAGTGACTAGTATTTATATAGGTAAGCGGTATAAGTATTGAACAGTGTTTAGGAAATACTAAATTTTGAAGTGGAATATGATTGTCATCAATGATCGTGATGAAGTAGGTAACACATTTTGACCGCTTCATACACCAGTTTAAGCGCAGATTGTTCTAATACGTATTCAAACTAATGTATGTTTCGAGTGTACTCCAAATCATAGCCAAACCTATGTTTATTCGCCGTGATATATATATATATATATATATATATATATATATATATATTTGTGAGGTCCGTAGGATTTAAATGTGAGATACCAGCCATTTCAAACAGGACGTCATTAAATCATCGTACAAAAGCTAGATAAAAATATCCACTTTCCTGAACGTAGCTTCGTGGTTTCGTTCCCTTTATTCTTCAGCATTGAATAATGGGTCAGAATGTTATATGACTAACAGATGTTGATCACTTTGCCGTCGATGAAATAGATACTTATTCTTGTATTGTTTCTTTCGTACTGTTATGTTGTTAAAATGAAATCTTGATTACTAACTGTGACATTCAAGTTTTCTTTTGCATATTATTGAGTACAACTAAACACGTAATGCCTTATCTTTTTTAGACGGGTACCATTGAGGAGAAAATGCTTCAGCGTCAAGCGCATAAAAAAGCGCTTAGCAGTTGTGTGGTTGATCAACAGGAGGAAGTTGAACGTCACTTCAGTCTGGGTGATTTGCGCGAACTATTCATGTATCATTCTGAAACACTATCGGATACTCATGACAGGTTGGTTTATTAGACAATGAAAATTGCCTACTAAGTCCAGTGAAAGAAAAGATAATTTCGTGTTTGTGTCAAAAATAGTCAAATACAGTCTATTATTGAATAATAGAGTATAGATACACCATATGTGTAGTGTTCAAGAGTTGCATAGTCTATAGGTCGATGCAGTTGGTGAAAATCTGACAAGGTGAAAAATGTTTGTAGATTTAAACGTCCACTTCATAGAATTAAAGAGTGAATAAAGAAACAAGATTTGTAGTGAATTTATAATAGCAAACAGAAGAAGTGTTATGAAATATGAAACAACGGAAATAGGATTAAGATTATGATGACATAAGAGATTGAGCATACTTCTTTGCATGCAAAGATCAGACGTGAATGGTCATTATTTCTACCATGCTACGTTTTGGAATTGTCAATTCTTTTGTACTATTTCCTTTGACCTTGTATACATTGAAAAAGACTCACCTTCAATATGACGTTTCTTTCTTCACTTTCCGTATATCTATCAATCATTGCACTTCACATCTACCAACGATTTTCACTTTGTTGGATCTCTTACTTGCACAACTCTATTGTTGCAACTCTCCAGAAATAAATAAGACCAGTAGAAAAATTTTGTTAGGTTATCACTACTTAATCTGATTATTGTTGATTCAATGACTTTTTGGCACTATTCTGTCCATTAATTCACTTGTATAGTTCTTCAGCTCTCTTCATCACCTATAAACATATCTTATCATTGGTTCCAACAACTATTCCTTCTGTTTCTTTTTCACTTGTTGTAGTGATGCATATATCAAAATGTTTTCCTCCATTCAACCATTGAGTTGTTTCAACAATCTTACTGTCAGCTGTATGAACTTAATATTGCTTGGGCTTATCAAAAATCATGAAATATTTATTGAACCAAATGATGCCGGTCACAAAAGCTATAGGTATACCGCTGGTATTCAATAACCAATAATCAACAATTTTACCGCATCGCCAGATAAAAATCCCTTGGAACTTCTCATACAAGTGCATCGGTTCAAGTTACCACATTTCACAGTAGTATACAAAGAACAGGTGAATAGAAAAAAAGTGATATCGAACTAAAAAACGTTGTGAGAGAATAAGTAATCTGAAGATAACGGATAGTGCAAATATTCAAGCTGTAGAAGACGTCAAAGACTGAATACATATGCGCCACTGTGGCCAGTATTCAGTCATTTCACCAAGAGTCCTCAACCACTGACTACTGTTGTTTCGAGCGCACCAACCAGGCAGTTTAATTCTCCCAGCACCACTCAGGTCAACAGTCAAAGACTTAATGGACTGGTACTTCGTAGTTGTCTGGTCACCCTGAACCTTCCCACTAAAATGACACGTCGAGGTAGGCGGTGACTCGGCATGTGCTGTACATGTCCAAGCCATCTAAGTTGACTAAGGTCAACCTTATTAATCGACTTGCCTGTTTTGCCTAAAACTTTTTTCCTGACCTCCATTTGCCATATGGTGATCCCATCATCTGCGAAGGATGCTACAAAGACACTTAAGATTGAAAAAATGTGACCAGTTCATATCGTCTGCTTTTCACGTCCATGTCTCAGCCGCACAACAGGACAGAACAGACTGTAGCTCATTACACTCGTCCTTTGATAGGTAGCCGAATATCTTGTCAGTGGGCGCCAAAGACAAAGCAAGTTGCAGATGCCTTCTGTATTCCAGCTGAGATTTTATCAAAACTACCTGTCCGCACTGATGCAAATTTCTAATTAAGTCAAGTTATCAAAACATTTCACCGTCTTACTGTCTATCATAATCTGGGAGTGGTTGCAGACCACTTTTGATGCAGGTGCGAAACGCATACCAGCCGAACATACTCAGATTCTGCCTATCGCATTCAGAAGACCCTGCATTTTGCCAGCGTCTTCAACCAACAGGACAATGTATCTGCATACTGTCTCACTGCATGAATCAGAAAGAACTGGGAAGAATCTAGATATTCATTGACACCTATTGGTAACCTCAGTTTCCGCGTGCAGAAACTGCAGTTCGGATGGCGCAAATGATAAAATCCACCAAAACTATTCAGTTTTGCAACACGTTCATAAGTAGTCACAGTAGCCACTAAGACGATGGTGAAAAACTGAAGTATAAATCAGCTCAGGTAAAGTCACACTTCAGTTACCCAGCGTACAAAACTACTCTTGATAAGAATACAGAACATGGTAATCCAACCCTTTTTCACGTTGGCAAGATTGTTTCGCACTGCAAAGGGTCAAGGGCTGTGACACCTCACGGCCTCTTATCCAAAATTTCTCAGTATAGCGTTAACAATCAGTCAATCAATATCAACAAAGGACCAGGCATTACTGCATAACGGTCCCAATTGCCACAGCTCATATCAGTACATCAAGTAGAAAGGCAGCGAGGTGAAGGATGAAGATAAGACAATGCAGTCAAAAGAAATATAAAGTGCAAAAAGAGAGGAACAAAGAATGAGAAAATGGTGAGATTCGGTATAGCGTCGTTAAGATGAGGATAATGCGTACGTGTATCTGCGCCACTGACATCGGTTCTCAGCCATATCACCTAGAGTCTCTCACCACTGATTCCTCTTGTCCCACGGACCCCAACCACTCAAGCTGCATCGCCACACACGGCTCAAACCAACAGTCAACAACTTCATATAAGTGAAAACAACAACTTCATAGATTGGTGCCACCTCGGGTCTTTTCCCAGCTAGAACTACTTCGGCCAACATTGTGTGACGAGGCAATTGGTGACTAGGCATACGTGATACGTGTCCCAACCATCTCAGTCGATGAAGATTCATAACCTCTTCAACTGACTTACCTCTACTCCCTAAACTGTATACCTGACTTCTATGTTACTCACGTGGTGACGCCACGGAACATGGCCTATACTACGAAGGGGACGGTGACCAAACACCTGAAGCCCTCTCATGTCTTCTACGTTCAATGGCCACGTTTCACAGCCATACAGTGGAGCAGACCGGACTGCTGTGCAGTACATGTGACCCTAATAGACAAACGGGTATCGCGGCGGCGCCATTATTATTATTATTATTATTATTATTATTATTATTATTATTATTATTATTATTATTATTCTCTTGGGTTCCTGATGGAACATAGGGCTTCAGTAGCACGTCTCCAATGACCTCCGTTCTCTGAAATCTTTTGAACCTGGTTCCACGACAGCCCACAAGCTCTCATTCCTCCTCGCTCGATCTCCTCCATATCACCCTCACCTCGGACACCCAACTCGTCGCTTCCCGTGGGGATTCCACTCGAGCAACTGGCCTGACGCATGATGTCCCAGTCGGCTTTCTCACTGCATGCCCAATCCATTTTCACTTCCTTCTACATATTTGTTGAGCGATAGGTTCTTGGTTGGTTCGTTCCCATAGGTCCTTGTTGCTTATTCTTTTGGCCATCTGATCTTCAGTAGCGAGCGTAAGCAGTTGTTGATGAATGTCTGTAGTTTGTTGAAAATGTTTTTCTTAGCACGCGAAGTCCCTGAACCATACAGGAGCACTGACTTGACGTTGGTGTTGAAAATCCCAATCTTGTTCCACATGCTGAGTGCCGTGCAGTAGATCTCCACACTGGTTTCAGTCTAATGAACGCCTATCTTGCTTTTCCGATTCTGACTTTGACATCTTTGTCTGTGCCGCCTGTAGTTGAAACAGTGCTGCCTAGATAGGTGAAAGGGGCTACTTCCTTTAAGTTTCTCCCGTTGATGGTGATTGGTACCTCTTGTTTTTGTTGTTGTTGGTGGTGGTGGTGGTGGTGGTGTTCGTGGGGTATCTTCATTACCTCTGTCTTCTCTGCGTTCACTTGAAGTCTTGTCTTCGCTGCCTCTTCTTGTGTCAACTTGTTAGTTTTTGCTTGCAGATCTTCAGATCTTTGTGTGACACTAGACACAAGTCATCGGTGAAATTCAAATCTTCTAGGTTGTTTTCCCCGGTCCAGCGTATCCCCCTCTTCTCACTCCTCACTGTTTGTTGCATGATCCAGTCCAGTCCACTACAATCAGGAATATCATGGGTGATAGTAGACAGCCTTGTTTCACTCCTATCTTTACTTCTAAAGCATCACTGAGCTTCCCATTGTGAATTACTTGGCCGGCATGTGGCGTCCTCACATAGTTGTTGAATGAGGTTGATACAGGTTTGTGGTATTCCGTAGTGTTGAAGCAACTGCCGAATTACTTGTCGGTCGACGTTGTCGAAGTCCTTCTCAAAGTCGATGAAGTTGAGGTAGAGAGTTGACTGCCATTCTATACTCTGTTCTATGATGATGCCTAGAGTAGCGTTACAATTTGGTCCCACATGATTTGTACTTCCTGAATCCAGCCTGCCTGTTCTGGTCGTAGTTTTGAATCCAGTGCATCCTTTACTCTCTCCAGGATGATGCGGCTTAATATTTTGCTTGGGGTGGACAGGGACAGGAGAGTGATTCCTCGCCAGTTCTTGCAATCACTGAGGTCTCCCTTCTTCGGGAGTTTGACTAGGTAGCCCTTCTTCTAATCAGTTGACAGGCACCTTCTCTTCCTTCCACACCTTCTGCAATAGTGGTGTGGGCATGTCTGCTGTTGTCCATGCGTCTGTTCTCAGTGCTTCTATAGGGATTCCATCTCGTTCTGCTGCTTTCCCTCATTTCAGCAGCTTCAGGACGTTCAAGACTTCGACTTTGGTCAGAGGATTTGTGTTCACTTGTAGTTCTGTGGTTGGGCTGCAGGTGGTATTTCTGGACGAAGTGCAGGTGGTGGTGGTGGTCGATTCAAGAGCTTTTCGAAGTGGTCAACTCATCGTTTCCCTTGTTTCTCATCTTTGGTAATTAGATTTCCTTCATCATCTTTTATTGGTTTCATCTGTGTTGATCTCTTCCCTCCCAGATAGTAAGTAGCCTGGTTATTTGATACAATGTTGTCTGATCTCTGTCTCTCCTACCTGCAGCCTGTTATGCTTCACTTGCCAGTGTGTCGTGGAA